GCTCCTCGTTCTGTGTTGGGGGCCCCGGCGGCTCCTCGTTCTGTGTTCGGGGCCTCGGCGGCTCCTCGTTCTGTGTTCGGGGCCCCGGCGGCTCCTCGTTCTGTGTTGGGGGCCCCGGCGGTTCCCTGAAGACTCAGACGGATGTGTTTGCAGTGTCGTTTGGTCTCTTTGTGTGCTTCTGGTTCTGATTTAATCATTTAATCATTTAAATGTCACCAAACAAAGAGAGAAAAATACCTAAAAATCAGATACAAAGAATTTTATTTGACAAAATACTCTAATCCAGCAGGTGCTTTTCAAAGTAAAGCTCCAAAACCTAACCATAGAAATAAAATCCCAAGCAGGGTTGTGTTTTTGTTGCCTGTTAGCCTCCACATTGTGGAGCCACAGGAGGGTGTTTTTCTGCTGACGTAGGCCTGAAGGGATTATAATGGAGGGACTACACGCTCCCCACGAACTACCACAAACACCCCAGGCCATTGTTGGCCCCCCAGGCCCTGTTGTCCTTTTTCTACTGAGTGGGGCAGTTGATGGGGGATAAAAGGCCAGCCGGCGTGCACTGCACTGGGCTTTCAGGAGAGAGACAACAGGTTTTTGGTGGTCTGGAACTGGCGCTGGGAGCAATGAGCGTCCAGATCCGTCCAGGATTACACAGGGGACATCACGGAGAAAATCATGTCTTTAAACTACATCAGAAACTTCTACGAAGGATGTGTGAGTAGATGAGACTGGACGAGCCAACGGTGCTCCTGCAAATGAAACAAACGACTGATTGACGGACTTCTTTGTGTCGCTGAAGCCCTGAGGGCAGAAAGCCTCTCTTCTTTGTGCAAGTGTCAGAAAAGTCTTTTAATTTTCTGGTAAACTGTGTTTGTATCGGAGCAGGTGAAGAGATGAGAAACGTTTCTTCTGAATGGGTTTTGTTCGTCAGAGTTCAGGGTCACCGCGTCGCACTAAGCTTTTGTTGTTCCTGTTTGTGTGTTTCACTCTTCGCCTCTCTGTGTGTCTGAATGTGTTCCAGCTCCGGCCTCCTACGGTCATAGGCCAGTTCCACACCTTGTTCTTTGGATCGGTTCGGATGTTTTTCCTGGGCGTTCTTGGCTTCGCCGTCTATGGGAACGAAGCTCTGCATTTCAGCTGCGACCCTGACCGCCGGGAACTCAACCTGTTCTGCTACAACCAGTTCAGACCAATAACACCTCAGGTGGGACTAAGCTCTGCTGCCAGGAACCACCAGAGGAAGTTCTAGTGCTCTCATCACCCACAACACTTCATGTTTTCACTGCTTTCAGCGTCACGGTTCCTGGAAAAACATGTTTTTTCTAACTACCTGCTTGGACTGGGTTCTGTAAGAACTTTTTCTGTATCCAGAGCTGAACTGTCTGGTTTTAAAAACATTTAAAAATGGCTGATGTCAATAAATATTCAGATCTCTAAGAGCTACATGCAAATAAAAAATTTCTCCAAGTGTGTATTATGCAGATGATATGATGTTCTATTTGACAGATGCACGTGTCAGACAATGTTTAAGTTCAGTGTGTGTCTCTTTGTTGTTTAAATTTATGCTCTCTGCAGGTCTTTTGGGCGCTGCAGTTGGTGACCGTGTTGGTTCCCGGGGCAGTCTTTCACCTTTATGCCGCCTGTAAGAACACCGACCAAGAGGAGATCCTTGACCGACCCACATACACCGTCTTCTACATCATTTCAGTTCTTCTACGTATCATTCTGGAAATAATTGCCTTCTGGCTGCAGAGCCACCTCTTTGGTTTTCAGGTCTGTCAGTTTTTAACGAGTTTAAACTTTACTGTGTTTGAGTTGTACACCCACACATCCACTCCCTGTGTCGCCTCTTAGAGTAAATTTTATAGGATTCGTTCAGCATGTTGGCATTACCATGGGCTCCTGTTTATTTTAGTCATTTGGTCATTCTGGAACAAGCCCTGAAACAAACTGACAAACAACTGTAACTCAGACAAAGCACAAAGTAAGAGAACATGCAGTCCAAACATGAAATGTCAAAAGAGTCTTTTGTCAAAAGTTTTCATTACAGACACATTTAGAGTGCAGACACTTTTAAGTTATTTCTTCAAAAGGTGATTCTATAAACTGCTGGTTGCAGCTGTCTCTCTCAGACCAAACACTGAACAATCACACTGCTATAGAAAAAAGTAGCCAGAACGTGGACGTCTTGGAGAGGACTTCATAGGACGTATAAGAACGCAGTGTGCGTTACTCGTGAACAAGCATGATGGGTCTACAATGGTTTGAATATGCTCTAAATGTCCTGAGTGAGGCCTGAGTGGTTTAATATCGTGATTGTTCTGGTTGGAGACTGGCAGTAGTGTTTTACTTTTTTATTTATTAGCCTTTATTTACACCAATAAATTCCAGTGAGATCACAGTTCTCTTTTGCAAGGGAGGCCTGGGCTGTGTATCCATGTATCAGTGTGACTTGGTCATCAAACCTTTGTGGCAGGACTGGTCACACTGGCATCTTGTCTCAGCTACAACGATGATTGTGACCAAATCATAGAAAAGGCAAGCTTGCTATTGTGAGAATGTTGTGCCAGGGCAGATGTTAATAATGCATGAGAGCGTCTCAGAGAAGTGTAGCAGCATCATGATTGCCTTCGCCTCGAAGGAGGGTGTCCAAATTTGCCTGTAGCAACATTTTAATAGATCCTGAAGAGATAGTATGGGATTCATCCTGTGTGAGTGTCTTAAATGACAGAGTGAAATATGTCATGTGTTGCTGTGTATCTAAGGGATCAATGTACCTCATTTTAAAAGCTATTTCATATTATCTTTACTGTCCTCTGTCATAGAGCGAAGAGGGGAATTGGAAATAATCTCCATCTGTCCTTCGGTTTGTCCATCAAAACTATAAAACATTAACTATTCACATCTCTCAGAAATGGGGGACATCGGCGTACAGCTTATGTTCAGGTTTAAAAAAAAAAAAAAACGTTAACAAGGGTTATACACACTTAATACCATGACTGAATTTACAATGTTTTTATAATCAGAATTGTTGGTAAAAAGAGAAGGTAACAGAGTTATGTCCAATTGTTTGTGTAGCAAAGCAATCACGGTTGAATCTATTTTTCAAACACTATTTCCACATTTACACTGAAACCAACAGTGTCTGTGGATAATAACACAGAAAGAAGTGAAAGACGAGACCAATAATCATCTCCTTTTGGTTGAAAGGACATTAATGAGTCTGCTGGTACTTCCATTGGAAAGTAAAGAGTACAACCCATCATCAGCCACGGTTCGACTGATGTCAGTGGACCTAATTGTAAGGGTTTGAAAATATTCCAGCCTGATACTTTCTTTCTTTCCCTCAGGTTCATGCCTTGTACGTATGTGATGCCAGCTCTTTGGAAAAGGCCTTCAATGTGACTAAATGCATGGTACCAGAACACTTTGAGAAAACCATCTTCCTCAGCGCCATGTACACCTTCACCGTGATCACCATACTTCTGTGCATTGCTGAGATATTTGAAATACTCTGCCGGCGCCTCGGTTACCTCAACGATCAGTGACACAAATGCTTGAACAGTGAGTGGAAACATTTGACATCGGCATTGCCAGTTTTCACTGGATAGAGTTCACACGAGAGCCAAAGCTCACCTGTGGTACAACGTTGGCGAGAGGCACCAAGACATCAGAGAAAGTGAAATAACATCAGAACGCACCACTTGGAGATATTCTCTTGGTGTTTGCTGCCTTTTGGTGTAAACTGAACATCCCTGCTTGTATTTTAGATGTCAGCAGGTCTGTCCTGACTGTGTCCACCGGTTTTATTTGGACAGATGGAAAAGTTAGAGAACTTCTACCTCCGGCTGAACTGTTAAAGAATGAGACAAACAATTTCAGGTTTTATTTTAATTCACACAAAAAATGTGAAAATCAGGTACCAGCATCTTGGTTCAACTAAACTCTTTGGCTTTTTGTGGCTTAGTGCAGAAGGAAGACCCATCCATCCATCCGTTATCTTCTGCTTGTTCCAAAGTCCGGTCTCAGGGGCAGCATCTTGAGCAGGGAAGTCCAGACATCTCTCTCCACAGCCACCTCTTCCAGCTCTTCTGGGAGGACTCCAAGGAGTTCCCAGGCCAGCTGAGAGACATAGTCTCTCCAGCGTATCCTGGGTCTTCCCCGGGGTCTCCTTCCAGTCAGACATGCCCAAAGCACCTCTCTGGGGAGGTGTCCAGGGGGCATCCTTAGCAGATGCCTGAACCACCTCAACTGGCTCCTCTGGATGTGGAGGAGCAGTGGTTCTACTCTGAGTCTCTCCTGATAACTGAACTTCTCACCCTGTCTCTAAGGGAGAGTCCAGCTACCGTGCAGAGGAAACTCATTTCAACCTCCTGGATCCACAATCTCATTCTTTCAGTCACTACCCAGAGTTCAGGACCAGAGGTGAGGGGAGGAACGTAGACCAACCAGAGGGAGCTGAGCTACTCGCGCTTCACCACAACGGGCCAGTATAGAGTCCGCAATACTGCAGACGTTGCACCAATCTGTCTGTCAATCTCACGCTCCATTCTTCCCTCACTTGTGAACAAAACCCCAAGATACTTGAACCCCTCCACTTGAGGCAGAACCTCACCCTTGACCTGAAGAGTGCAATCCACACTTTTCTGACTGAGGACCATGGCCTCAGAATTGGATGTGCTGAGTCTCATCTCAGCTGCTTCACACTCAGCTGTGAACCACTCCAGTGAGAGCTGAAGATCACGGCACGATGATGCCAACAGGACCACATCATCTGTAAAGAGCACAAATGGAATCCTGAGGCCACCAAACCCCGGACTCCCTCTGCCCCCGGTTGCACCGAGAAATTCTGTCCATAAAAGTTATGAAGAGAATCGGTGACAACGGGCAGCCCTGGAGGAGTCCAACTCCCACTATGAAGGCGTCCAACTTACTACCGGTCATGAGAACCAAACTCTCTCACCGCTTGTATAGAGACCGAACAGTCCGTAGCAACAGGCCCCTAATCCCAGAAAGAAAAAAAAAGACCCAAATTGGTACAAACGTAATGTGGTCCCCTAAAACCCCTTTTTGGTGGTCATACTGCCAATAATCTGTGGAAATAAATCCTTTTGGAAAGCCTTAATTTGATGACTATCTTTAATCAATGTCATACGGGGATTAGGCATGGAAGGTGGACCATATAGCATGGAGCATTGTGAGGGTCTTTCTGTAGTTTCATGAGTGGCAGCTGTTGCTCAGTGAAGGTGTTGGAGCTCCTTCATCAAACTTCATCTTTACCACCAAGCCAGCATGTTAGAAATGTAAGAACTTGAGTCTAATGTAAAGATATCTCAATCAGCACTGAAATGGTTTCATTATAATTTGTTCCACTGAAGGTGGAAGATCTTTCTGTGGGCACAAACTCAGTGTGGGTTTGATGGAAGGAACAGAGAGAAAGAAACAAGCAGAATACAGAATAATGCTGCACATATTTATGTAACTGAATTTCAGTTCATTGTACCATAAAATTGTTTGCCAGTCGGTGAACTGCTGGAGAAGTTTAAAGATGTGTCACTGCTGGAAAAGCAATCACAACATTCAAGGTGAGGCTAAAGGGGTCTCAGGTTGGAGTGCTGAATACTTTCTGACGAGGTGGGACAAAACCAGATGGGGAACTCGAAGGTCTTTGAGATTCAAGGTGTTCCTGCTCTTACAAACGAGGGCTTGTAAGAGCGCGTTCTGAGGTTTTATTCATGTCTGATTCTCCTCCTGGAAGAGCTCCTCTACATTTGATTACATCTTCATTTGTTCAGAACTTTGCTTTTAACGTCAGCGTTGTTTGAAAATGATGTTTTGTTTTCTTTTGTTAAATCAGACATCCATCCAGTTTTTCTTGGGACGTTGTCAGCAATCTGTTTATCACCTCAGGTACCAAATTCATTACCAGACAAACGTGAGCAAACCCTCCTCAGACCTTTTGATTCACCTTTTCATTTCCAGCAGAACGGTCCAGTTGATCCAAGACTGCAGGTTGCTCTGTAAAAGGTTTGAATCCGACATGTGACTCCTGTCAAATGATTCTGGTACCTGTGTGGAAAAGATGGGTTTTAACTTTGGAACAAATATTTTGAGCCCTGTCCACATAAATAAAAAATGTAAAATTTCAGTAAGATATTGCTCCCACAAAAATGTATTTGTCAAATGTTGTCTCTTTTCATTCATCATATCAGACTCACCCTTGAGAAATTTTATTTAGTTTAATAAACTCTGAGCGAGTGTCTTCATTCATGGGAAGTGCATAAATTGATCATCTGCATCAGCTCGGATTATTTTTTGTTGAAGAGTTTAATTTACAATTTGAACAAAAGAGAGGAGTATTACAGAAAATTATTATGTTTTGTCAAGTTAATTACTTTAAAAATGTACATGTTTATTACATTTATCACTTAAGGACATCTCCATTATTGTTCTGGTGCAATGCATTCTGGGTAATGATGTCCAGAGGCTGCAGTGGAAGTTAAAAAGTTCTGATGTTTGATAATAAAGTTGTCTTTGTATCAGTCTTTATGTCGTTCTGCTCCATGTATGGGTGGAAACCATCAAACCTCATCAACTAGAGATGTTTAGTAGATTAGCTCTGGAGCTAGCAGCTAAAACTAACAGGATAAAGCAAACAGGCTAAGCTAGCAGGCTAAAGCTAATGGGCTACAGCTAACAGGCTAAAGGTAGCAGGCTAAAGTTAACAGGCTA